AGTCTTCCAAAATGCTCAAGGTGATAACAGATTAAGTCTTCCAACCCGAAAGTGTTCTCATCGTTTGGGTGATGTTGCCGTGTTTTTTTTTTGAGCAGGCGTTGCTCAGAAGTGGTTCATGGAACTTTGGAATTGTTGGCATTGCCTGTAATTGTTGGAAATTATCACTGGAAAAAATGCAGACTTCTCATTGGTGTTCTTTTCGCAGTGTTTTGCCACCCGTCTTTCCTGCCACGTTTGCTCTTCTGACTTCTTGTACTGTCCACCAAGGAAGGAACCAAGAACAAGGCATCAGGATATCCAGCGGGTGGCACTTGCTACAACTGAATGCGTGCTGAGACTCACAGGATGATTTAAAAATTTGTCGAATCGATCGAATTTCTGACACATATCGATCCTTCACGTATGCCCTATGCTGACGATTTGAGATCCTATATTTCCGGGCGTTTGCTGTTAATTATGATGACTACGAAATGAGTTGTGCGTTAATAAATCCTCGGTATACATGCCGTTTTTGCATGCAGAGACGTTCGAAAGGTAGTCAACGATCGCATGGCGGATAAAATACATATGGCGGAGTTCGTTTTCCTCTGCCGTAAGGACTTTTCGTAATTCTTGAAACACTCAGCTGAGAAGGTATTAGATTATGGTGTTTGTAGATCTTGAAAAAAATACCGTAAAACACGGGTTTACTTGTACAGAAAGCAAAAGATATTACGGTTAGTGCAGTCGCTGATTAGTACCTACGTTTCGACCTTCTTCAAGGTAGGTTGATGATGAATTTTTGTGAATGTAGCTGGTTGTCTGCAGTAGTCGATGGTTTCGGAGCCAGAAAGTCTGCATAAGTACATAAGCAAACCGTATTGTACGCTATTCTTGCGGTATGACCACCAACGCACGAAGAACTACTCTCTTTTCGTGGATCTTCATCATTGTTCAGGAAAATATATCGAAATGAGAACTTGCAGATTTCAGAGCTGCATTACTCGAAAAGTTAGAACCGGTGTTTATGCTGATCCTTGAAGAAAGCGTATTGAACTCAGCATTACGTAAACACGGTGTGGAGCTGCATGGCGCAGATTCTTCTCCCGCGTCGCATATTATGCTTAGCCGGTGTTAGTTGTTCGAGGCAATTTCTTTTCGATGCCTTTTCTGCCAAGCTTAGATCACTTGAAGAAAGAGTTGAATATATAAGTTTTTAATATATTAATATTTTGTCGTAGCCATATTCGCCGCTCAACAGAAACGCATGCCAATAGAGACATTGTCTAAGTCCTTACCAGGGTTGTCTTGACTCAGAACTGAGAAGTCGATGGCTCGAGCCTCTGTCACATCACTTGCCTTTCTCCCTTCTGAGGTTGAGTATCAGTCTGTGGGAAAGAAACAATAAACTACATACTGTGTTTTTTTTCACACAGCTGCTGTCGACTCTGCCTTTAAAATCAAGGCAGCGCATGCTGATGCCGTGGAATTGAAGATCGATGCCTCACCAATAACTTCGTGAAAAGAAGTACGCCCGAAATGGCCCGATCATAAAGATGTAAGGAAGGCTGACCTTTCAGCGGTTACAAACTTTCCCTTTTCCCTCTGATTTAGGCTTAGCTATAAATTACCTAAGATGACATCGCTGTGCAGTCATTGAACACATTTTAAGTCCAGCGCTGTGCCGATGTTTCCATTGATTTTGTGTCCAGAGGCTTCATCCTCTGATCGGAGGGTAACAAGGTATGCAGCGTGATGCTAATATAATTCACTACGTAGTAAAGGGTGGGGGCAGCGATAAAATGCATATAAATTACTGCATGGACAGCTATATCCGTATCGGCGCTCACAAGGCGAAAAGTTAACGAATACTGAGTGTTTGTGCGATCCGTTGCTGCAACCAAACCAGTCTTCCTTTGATGGTCGCAAGGTCGTTTCCGTGCGTAGATGATATAATTTTGCGCACCACATCTGTGCACAGTTATAAACCCTTAATTCCGTGCCTCTTTTGGCAGATGTGGCATTCGTTAGTGGCGAGCTGTTCTTCTCGCGGTTAGGTAGGTTTCTCCTTGCCTTAGAACTGCTCCTCTGTTCAGTCCAGTGTTCGCATACGGTGCAGTGAGTTAATAATTTGTTTTTATTTTTTAAGGTATTGGTTTCAGCTCCCAGTGTT